TTTATAATAAATAATCCTCACATGTTACCATTAGTGCTTGCCATCATCACTGATTATACTGGATGACAGTTGAGTCATATTCTTAATTGACTTCATTTAGATAGATCGATTTGGGCATCCGGATAGTATCCCAGCCCACATACAAATTGAATCACAACTATTCGTTTTGTAGCGCATATTTATATTTTGGTGCCCCATTGTATCAATATTTATGTATCTAAGTAAATAAATATGAGATACGTGGGTCACTGAATTCGAAATTAACAGTTCAGGACTAGTAAACTTATTGAGGGATCTGGAAGACTTAAATTCGATTCGTGGTAAGGCAGTGAGTACGCAATAACAAGGTATTATAAAGTAGGATCAAAATATGTCTAATACTGCCCAGTTTCCAATCGTCACCCAGCTGAAATTAGTCTTTGATGAAACCCTATTTGGATTCAAATGAGTGAACTAAAGGTACTGATCAAAATTATTGGTTATGTGTTGCTACAGAACTAAACAATTAGATGTAATTATGTGAATACAAATGCCATACAAATTTCTAAGTTAATATAGCTTGATACGGGCTATTTTCACTCGCGTCAATTCATAAAACACACTTGTAAGTCTTCTCAAAAAAACAGTGTTTTAAAGTTTCTTATACAGTCCCCATTTATTAAATCTAAGAAATGCCATATGCCAACTATGTCAATACCACGATCAAAGTTTTGAGTCTAAAACAGTTGATCCTTTTGACAAATTCAAATAATGTAACTATCAATTTGGTCTTCTCATTTCATTATCTAAATTTTTATGTTTGGTTTACAATACTAGTAGTTACAGCTGTTTTATTTTGAAGTCAAACTGTTACAGTCAACCGAAATCAAAGTTATCATGATTTAATTTGAACAAGATAACTCATAGTGTGAGATATCATTTTGACAACGACATCCTTGAAAGCGTAGTTGAATTTAAGTCGCTTTTAAGATAACATACCTTTTCAAAATCCAAAATAAAAACAGACATTACAGAATGTGTCGGAAACATAGATTTCATTCATTGATTAAAAACAATATGAAACTATCAAGTCTATATTAGTGAATATAAAATTTTCTAGATCACAAATTCGTTAGCGTATTTTTCTTGATACGAAGAAGGACAGCTTATAAATAAATGAAAAAAATAATATTTATATGTGACAACATAAGGTACTTTTAGTTATTTTAGGGAGAGTTATCATATTAGTGTTTTAAGATAACTTAATTGAGCTATACTGAAAGCTTTAATGAGTAAACACTTATTTTTATGAGCGTACAATTATTTAGACGCATATATATATATATATATATATATATATATATATATATATATATATATATATATATATATTGAAATGATATAGTATGTACAGAATGAATGTTTAAAGTAGCACAAGTGAATGTTTTATTACTTTTGTTGTGATGTAGTAGTCATGTTAACAACTTTTTGTTAAGACCTATTGTGTACTGGTACATAATTGTATTTGATTTTTTAGGCTACAATCTAACAGTCATTTATAATTTTATATTATGTAAAACTGTCAAATTCCTTCTAGTTTATATTAATGAGTGAAGAAGTTAATTGGATAATTACTTTAGATAAATACTTTAGACATTCCACTATATTAATTAATTGATATTCATTAATATTAGTTATTTTCTTTATTTTTTGATCACATTTATTTCAGATATTATTATTAGCTTTATTCAATATTACATATTTGGTACAATATAGAATTTTAAGCACAAAGTATTTCAACAAGTTTCCGTTTCTTACTTCTTGGTCGATCCTGACGATAAATATTGAGTAATCGTCAGTTAGAAGATAGCAATCCAGTCATTCCACATCTAAATAATATAGATTCTTTTCGCTTCATATTGACATAAACCACTATATCTCTGATTGGGCCTTTTGTAACTTGTACAACGAAAGGTCTTCAACTTTTCAGAAACGCATCTGAACAGATTATACGATTAATAGCCATAATGATGTATTAAAACGAACAAGAAAACAGATAACTTGTTGAAATATCCAGATGGTAAGAGCAGATAGACTAGATGTTCAAGTAAACTGCCAAAGATATCATTTTAGCATTTCATATACTACTTTATTATTATTATTATTTTACAGTGAAAACTTTACATTTTTAGTTTTTCATGGTTAACAAAATTTATCATCATAAAATCAAATTTAAAAAAAGAAACTTTTGTGTAAAATATAGACCTAATCAATGGATTATTGAAAAGTTTTTTGAGTAAATGTGCTTTCATTGTTTTCTAGAAAAAGGAATTTCTGCTTTATTTAGTGAAAAATAGTGAATACGTTTATTTTTATTACTGAAATAAAATTGAAAATTTTCACACAAAGAAAAATATATTTTCAGAAGGGGTTTTGTGGAGATTTTAGTAATTGCAATAGTTGAAATCATGAGTCAATTGAACCTAGACCACCATGGAAAACATGGAAACACTGTAAGGCCATTTTGTCCTAGTATGGGACTCCCCAGCAGGGTGTATTAACACCGTTGGATGCCGGTTCAATCGTCTAATGGTTAAGCTCTCGCGCACGACACTGATAAGTTCTGGGTTCAAATCTCGAGGATGGCGGGATCGTGAATCTTCACTGCCAGAGTTCCACAATAGAACGAAATGGTTTTCCAGTGCTTTTAGGTTTTCCATCATGGTCTAGATTCAAATGACACATGTTCACAACTATTAAAATTATCGATCTATCAAAAGTTATATATATATTTAGTGGGAATACAAAGATTACACTATATAAATGCATTCACGTAAATCTCAATCTCTATAGCTTTTGAAAAATCTTTTTACACAGACAACTTGATTTATTTCAGCTTATAAATGATAGTGATTACGTTAATATAAATTAGTTTTCAAACATTTTCTTTATATCTCAATCAATTAATTTTTAAGTTATTTCTAACATTTTAAAACATGTGTTTGTTAACATCACACTTGCTAATAAATTGGTGGCATCGTTTTGTATTTTTGTTACACATGAATTATCCTTCACATACTTCGGCAGCATCATTGATGAACACGGTGAATCTGATGCAGATGTGAAGGCACGGATTGGCAAAGCAAAAGCAGCATATTTACAACTGAAGAATATCTGGAACTCAAAACAATTGGCAACCAACACCAAAGTCAGAATTTCCAATACAAATGTCAAGACAGTTCTACTGTATGAGGCGGAAACCTGGAAAACTACGAAATCCAGAAGATACAGGTGTTTATTAACAGTTGTCTACGCAAAATACTTCGAATCTGTTGGCCAGACACTATTAGCAACAACCTACTGTGGGAGAGAACAAATCAGATCCCAGTGGAGGAAGAAATCAGGAATAAGTGCTGGAAGTGGATAGGACACGCATTGGGGAAAGCACCGAACTGCGTCACAAGACAAGCTATCACATGGGATCCTCAAGGCCGAAGAGGGAAAGGGATGTGGTGGTATTATATGACTTTATTCGTGAACAGAATGTCTGGCAGCAGAGAGACGAAAAGATCGAACAGTAAAGAATAAAAACAGAAAGCAATTTGTATGAAAATGAGAGAACAAAGGAAGTCTGAGTCATTTGATACAATTGATGGACATTTTGCAAATTGAGCATTTACTATATGGTTGTTAGATTTTACTAACTAGTTCTGTAATTTGTTGTCAAATACATTCGATTTTCCCCACTCGTGTTCTGTTCACTACAGGAAGACCAGAGAACGAATTACGCCGGGAAATGGAGATAGATATTAGAAAAATGAACAAAAATTGGATAGAACTGGAAAGGAAGGTCCAGGACAGAGTGGGTTGGAGAATGCTTGTCGGCGGCCTATGCTCCATTAGGAGTAACAGTTGTAAGTAAGTAAGTAAATGGTTCATCCTACCTAGGAACGGTTGTCATCACTATATTTTAATTCTTTTTCTTTTTCATCTAAAATAAAGTTATATTACATTAATTATTATTGAATTTTTGTTGGAACTTGTTTAACTAGTTAGAAGAAATACTTAGTGTTATAAAAAATGTTTTGCAAATAAAAATCTGAAACTGTATTGAGTGTTGAATTTATCACGGCGTATTCTATTTAGGATATGTTTGAATCAGAAAACATTATTATTTCAATCGTTGACATTAGTTCAAACATAATTTTCACATATAATGACTTCTCTATATTCGGTGCCCAATTATTGTCAAATTATTCGTTCTAATCTTGACAAATATTCGTAGAAAATATTACTGTTTCACATATAATTCAAGCTTCATTTTTGTTTGCGTTTCGCAACTCTAAAAGAATTTACCAAGAAATGCAACTCATTAATTCAAAGAAGCAATTGAGTAATACTTTGATTAATGAATTAAGTTCTTTGTAAATATATAATAAAATGGTCTAGAGGTTAAGCGCTTGCGCGCGAGATTGATAGGTGTTGGGTTTGAATCCCGTGGGTGCTCACTGCTGAGGAATTCCACAATAGGATGAAACGGCCTTCCAATACTTCCAGGTTTTCGATGGTGATGTAGCTTCAATTAAATCATGATCTTAATTATTGAAAATGAAAAGAATCAATCATGCATTTTAAAATAGAATGGTTGTTTTGAAAATAATAATATTAGCAGTAATATTCAGTAAATATAAAATAGTCATAGATAAACTATTTATTTTAAGCTGGCATTAGTAGTACAAACATATTCAAAATTATACAGACATGTATTTTCTTAACAGTAACTTATAATTCTATCAGTTGTTGCATAAATTTCTAAAATTTCTCTTAGTGGTTAATCGTATTCTTCTAGTGACAGGTACAAAATCTATATAACCCTATGGAAATAATGCGTGTTTATCACCTATGTTGTGTGTAGGTACCTACGAACATGCTTGTTAAATTACATAAATATATAAGTCTACATATAGGTTTTTATATAAATGTACATGTGCAGATTTATGTTCATATATATATCTATATATATGCATATATATGAGTGTATCTATGCTTCTGTTGTTTGTCTACAATGGGAAAATATTGAGACAGAGCACAGTCATGATATTCATTGATTTGATTATTACAATTAAGAATAAATGAAACCAAATTGTATGGTTTTATCATTCAGACAATAAATATATATAGAATAAAAAAATAACAGTTATAACATTAAATAGCATTACCAATAAATAGAATGAATACAATTTATGGTTAAGATAATGTTTTGATCTATGACAACCTCAATATGTATATTTTACTACTAGGCAACTACTTCAATTGTTATTATTAATTAATTAATTAATTAATTAAAATTAGCATTACTTCTGTATTTTTTTCTATGAAAGAAGATACAATCATCAAATCTATTTTTATATTGAATGATTCGTCTGATTATGCTTATCAAAAAACAAACAAACGTTCAATTTAAATGAAACATCTCTATCTATTGAAAAAAATGAATAATAATAATAATAATACTAGTTATTATTATTGTTATTGGAATTATTGAATAAATTGAAAAAAAAACATTATTAGTTATTTTAAGCAAAATTGTGTTAATAAAACAAGGTGAGAAAGAAAAGTAAAAAACAAACAAACAATCATTCTCTTTAATAAGCCAAGAAAGAAAAAAACTTCAATTCTCTTGGAGGTAAAAACTTTGGGGATATATATAAATTAATAATAATAATAATAATATAAGGATTCATAGTTGTTTATCTTATCTTATTCATGTCAAACAATAATAATAATAATAATAATACAAGACGTGATCCTGTGAAAATGACAAATTTAAATAAATCTAATAATCAAGATGGTGATGCATTAGATACTGTTATTATACCATTAAATTCTTCATCAACATCAACAAAAGTTCATCAAACTAAAAATGGAATTTCTAAAATAATATTTATTCTATTAATTCTATTACTTATTTTAATATTATTATTTTTAATTATTGCTTCAATTATTGCTATCTATTATTCAAATGCATATTATAAATGTCAAACAGTTAAAGGTTAGTTTACTATTTTAAATAATGATTCATTTTATTTTACTTATATTATTATATTAGTTTCAATTATCAATTTATTGTTTAAAGAAATGATTTACACTAAGTCACAAAACATCACAAAATCTAATTTTTTATTTCATTAGGATATTACAAATCTATTAATTTATTTATATCAATATTTGGGTTGTTTTCTTTAAAAAAAATTTTAATTTCATTCATTTTATTTATTACTTTTTTTGATTAATCAATATAAAACTGTTTATATTGGTGAATTCTCATTTAGCTGGAGAGTTTTATATCAATTATTTAAAGTTATTGAAAGCTATTAACATCAATAGTGAATTATAATAATCACTTCATATACAAATAGAGTATGATTTCATTAAGTATAACATTTTTAGCTTTGAATTTAAGGCATTAAATTGATTGAATAAATTATTATTCAACCTTTTTGAAAAGTCCGAGTAGATAGTAAATAATATCATATGAAATTAGTATGCTGTTTGATGAAAGATATACTGTTATTTTATACTTCAAAAACTGATTGGGATTATATATACTTATCAGTAGTAAATTGAAAATAACCAAAGTCACCTTTTATTAATAAATTCTATTGATCAGTTTCACTGATACATGTTTTCTTCAATCTTACCATTATTAGATTTCTGATGATAAATTGTCGTATATATAGTTTGTTGTAAATAGAGTTTCAACGATATCAGCTAATTCATGCATACCTGTAAACTAAAATAAAAAATAGCACAATGATATTTATTTAATAGGCATGAGTATAAAATGAAAGTTACACTAGATTTTTTTTACTATTTTCTAATATCTACTACGTAAATATTTTAATTCTAATAATAGACCTTTACGGTACAACCAGTAGAAATATTCTCTAAGCTTGAATGTATAATCAGACATATTGCTCAGTTTATGGTTTAAAACTGTAATCATTCAACAATTTCCACAAATCCAATATAGTAATGATAATGTGTTTTCAAGATGTACTCTTCAAGTCCCAGTGAGAAGCTATTACCAGTGAGGTTCCACCCGTGTTGCGTGTGCGATAGTTATCGTCCACAGACAATAGATAGAGTTCACTCATTATTAAGAATTGGTTGAAGTTAGACATGAATATCTTTGGTTACCAACCTGTTGGTATATTCACGCGCGAAAGTCAATGTCTCAGATTCGAATCCCGCATACGCGTTGTGGATGTGTACTGCTGAGCAATCCCATACCAGGACAAAATGTCTGTTCAGTCCTTTCATGTTTTTAATGATGCTATAGATAAGATCAATTTGTGATTTAAACGTGAAAATTGTATAATCTTCAAAAATCCTATTTGCTTTAATACATAAATATATAACATTAAAAACAATTTAAACGGTTATTGCTCTCCTTGTTCCAAATAATTTGAATAACTATTTTTTAAAAACACCGACCTCGAACGACGACAAACTGACGTTCATTATTCATCCAATCTGTAGGCATCATAAACGTTAGTAATTTCGATCTTAAAATCTAGATAATACCATTGAGCAACAACAGTAAATTTTTTTCAGATAATAAAGTTGAGTTCGTTCCAACAGTTTCTCGGTGTTAACTAGTAAAATGTTTTGCCATTTACTTTCTCAAGAGAACATATATCGACTTAACAATGTAATAGGAGTTTATCAGAATGATTCATTATGTTGAGTATCCTTTTATACTAAACCAAAGTACTACTGGGTTAAAAGTTTTATGTAAATTTCACAACACAGTAAGATCGACAAGTGCATATTATTTTGGCTACATAGTAAGCTTACTGACTTGTTAACGCCTATTCCCTCTTGTGGAATAGCATAGGCCGCTCACCAGCATTCTCCATTCAACTATGTCCTGAACAATCCTTTCCAGTTCTTTTCCGTTGCTATTCATCCTTTTCATGTCCACTTCCAATTCTAGACGCAGTGTGTTCTTTGACCTTCCTCTTTTCCAATTCCCTTTGGGATTCCAAGTTAGTGCTTGACTCATTATTCTCTTCCGACGTCCTTTCCTAATTTCCTCTTCAGATGGAAACTGATTCATTCACTCTCACAATAGGTTGCTGCTGATGGTATCCGGTCAATGAACATTAAGTCTCTTGTGTAGAAAAAATTGTTTAGAAAGACTTGTATATAGTAAGCTTGCTTCGATATACTTCATTAGCTGAAATTGTACTTACTTTTAGTATTACTCTTCAGAACGATTTACAGTTTTTTTGAATCTTAATGATGAGAAAAGTTTGGAAACACTTAATGAAATACCTCTCATTTAAGTGGGAAATATAGGTACATTACACAAACTGAATGAATAAAGTTTATATTCTGAATATGTGTCAAAAGCAAAATTTCGTTTTTAAAGAACCACTGTTTTCTTCTATTATTGTACAAACCTATTTACAAACATTGATTTGATTTGACAGCAGGAAACATTACTGAAAATTCAAACCTAGTAATCTACTTTTAACCAGTTTTTTTGAAATGTTAACTTACATATATAAAATCATATCTCTATGGAATTTTAACTATTTTATCGTTAATAAACTGAAATAGGAAAATATTTGTTTTAATCAACTGTATCGAGAAAATACTTTAAAAAGTGTTCAACTATTTCCCTCTTATCAAATTAAGATAATCTTATTACACTGATGCATTGTCTGATATCAAACAGTAATAACAGTAAAATAGTTTAGTATTAGTAAAATTAATTATTTGAATGATTTTTTCTGGTTAGCGTTTTTTTAGCGAGTTAGTTTTATATGGGATGGGGTCACTAACCCCATGCCCAACCCCCCTCCTTTATCCGGGCTTGGGATCGTCAGTAACCCCAGAGGGGCCCCAGATGGAGTTGTTGATTAATTATTTATTTATTTACATGGCATATTCTTGTGAATATTTCTCTTTAACCTATACCGGAAAAGGATCAATCTTGTAAGATAGAATAGTAAAAATTATCAATATTTTGTTTGTCATTATTTTATTTCTGGTTTAATCATGGTTTTCAAGAGTAATAGTAGAGATAACAGATTAATATTTTGATTAATTTATGAAATCATGGGAACCAAAATTTATGTATCATTTGTTGAAAAGTGTTTAAACATTTTTTTAAATTTTTTAATTGCACATAATAGGTCATTTTATTTTAATATTGCAAACAGTTTATAAACTATGTAGGCGTACAAAAGTTTACTTTAGTAAACATTTACTAGTCATTCAGTTCTGGAATGATTAATCATTAGAGTGAATCGAATACTTTTGACATAATAATATCTCATCACTGTCAAACTAAATATACATAACTACTGTAGTGTGTTAACGTTATTTGTATAATTATAGAAAGTTCAACATGAAATGACCTTTGATTATTGAGAGGAAATTTAATGAATACAATCGGTTGTATTTCTAATAACAAAATGCTGTTCATAAAAGTCATATTGATAAAAATTTTCTATCATAATTTTAAGGTTTCTTTAAATCAAAATAAAATAAATCTTTAATGATCCGAACGGATGTAAACCGTTTTAGGTTACCTATCTTGAACTATAGGGAGGGGGGAGAAAGAAAGGAAAGAGGATACAAATTTCAAGTAGACCAAACAAATTACTTAAGGTTATACTAATCAAGTGCTTCATGAGACATTCATTTGTAATTGTGTATCATTAAATTGGGCTGCATTTATTTTCAGCAGATGTGAACAAATCACTTCAGTGGATGGATTGCATAATTCACTAGTCTGGTTTGATTTTTCTAAAGTCTGACCTGTTCAATATTTTCAAACATGAAGATGAACATGATGTTCCAACGTTAGACTGTCATTACATTGTAACGGATTCTCATCAACTGATTTGTACGAAATGATTGTTTTTGTATTATTTACATGACTGTTTAAAGGTGTTGAAACTGAAATTTCAGAAGTGTATATATGTTTTGCTCGTTTACGAATCTGAAGTATAATCGGTTTAGTTTGTTAGTTGAAAAAAAACTAGTGATTCTTAATTTCAAATCATTTATAGTAAATGAAAGAATGCAAATGTGTTTTCCTATTGTTTTATATATAATTTACATTAAGAATCATTACATCGTAATATTTACCGTCCAATTATTTTGAACTCTTAAGGTTATACTAATCAAGTGCTTCATGAGACATTCATTTGTAATTGTGTATCATTAAATTGGGCTGCATTTATTTTCAGCAGATGTGAACAAATCACTTCAGTGGATGGATTGCATAATTCACTAGTCTGGTTTGATTTTTCTAAAGTCTGACCTGTTCAATATTTTCAAACATGAAGATGAACATGATGTTCCAACGTTAGACTGTCATTACATTGTAACGGATTCTCATCAACTGATTTGTACGAAATGATTGTTTTTGTATTATTTACATGACTGTTTAAAGGTGTTGAAACTGAAATTTCAGAAGTGTATATATGTTTTGCTCGTTTACGAATCTGAAGTATAATCGGTTTAGTTTGTTAGTTGAAAAAAAACTAGTGATTCTTAATTTCAAATCATTTATAGTAAATGAAAGAATGCAAATGTGTTTTCCTATTGTTTTATATATAATTTACATTAAGAATCATTACATCGTAATATTTACCGTCCAATTATTTTGAACTCTTAAGGTTATACTAATCAAGTGCTTCATGAGACATTCATTTGTAATTGTGTATCATTAAATTGGGCTGCATTTATTTTCAGCAGATGTGAACAAATCACTTCAGTGGATGGATTGCATAATTCACTAGTCTGGTTTGATTTTTCTAAAGTCTGACCTGTTCAATATTTTCAAACATGAAGATGAACATGATGTTCCAACGTTAGACTGTCATTACATTGTAACGGATTCTCATCAACTGATTTGTACGAAATGATTGTTTTTGTATTATTTACATGACTGTTTAAAGGTGTTGAAACTGAAATTTCAGAAGTGTATATATGTTTTGCTCGTTTACGAATCTGAAGTATAATCGGTTT